CAGTTGTTACTGGAGGACTCGGCAGCACAAGGCACTTGATAGAAGTTTAACAATGAGTGAGAGCTTGTCTCTCCTCTGCTGTCAGCGCTGGGACATCCAATTCCCTTCACATCTCTGGGTGTATACCTGTGTGTCTCATGCGTGCACAGAGATGTGCAGGGGAAAATACTGATACAGTGACGGACAGTATTACTCTTTGGGGTGGTTTGTCTTTCTGAATGCATCTAGAAGGGTGGCCAAACAGACACCAGCCTGGCGTGGAGGAAAAGGACCTTCTTTTCTCCCCTAAGCAGGAAAATACACACAAGCCTCTTCTCCTCATTGGCCTTATCATTATTCCAATGTATCTCACATGATACAGTGTCTGAAAAGATCCTGAGCACCTGTCTGGTTCCAGGAGCACCTAAAAGAAGTCTTGTTGGTTCCAAAGCACACCTGGAGGAGACTGTCCACATACAGGCCTTAGAATCAACTTCACCAAGGTCTGAACAAAAGATTCCCACACAACTTAAACCAATAGCGTGTGCTGCTCGTACAGAATAGCAGCGGTAATAATAATCTGTATCATATCCGTAAAAGATTTCCAGGTTTTACATATGGTAGCTCAGCAAGCCTTTCATCAACCTTGTAAGGTAGAGTGATATTCCTAATTATGATTGATAATTAATCGATAATTAATAATGGTAATATTATTGCCCAATGTTAGACTGGAGGGATCGGAATAGAGGCTTAGGATGAGCAAACTGCTCTTGGCTCAGGTCCTCCTCATGAAGAGATGGCTGGTGGAGATTTGCCCCGGGGCTTTCTGGCTGGCCACTTACCTTCTGGCTGGCCCCCTTGCATTGCCCACCTGTTGTGGCTGTGCTCCTCTCAACAGCTCTGTTTCTCTAACCGTTCCATCTATAAGTCTGCTGAAGCAAAAAAGCAAAGCATCTTGTTGAACCTGAAAGTCTCACACATTTGCTGTGGACTGCAGCCCATGAACCCTTCCGTCACAATCAAGGTGTCCGTTTTCAGGATCCCACAGGATTCATCATTGTTTTGGTTCTTTCTTCAGCTGGAGGGAAGGATGCTGGCCATTGTAGGTGCAACCCAGGGGGAGGCTGTGTCCTGGGGATGAAGGGATGCATTTCCCCCCACCCCAGACAAATCGCCATGAACAGTACTGCTGAAGGTACTACTGAAAAGTAATGTGTGGGTGCACGGGAGAGGAGTGGAGAACCTCATTTGCACAGGACAAATTTCTGGCCTGCTGCCAAAGTTTGTTGCTGAGATTTTGTAGTTCTTTAGTTGCGAAGTCATCCCCGACCCATCGCAACCCCATGGACAACACCCCTCCAGGCCTTCCCATCCTCCACCGTCCCCCGGAGTCCACCTAAGCTCACACCCACTGCCCCAGTGACCCCATCCAGCCACCTCATCCTCTGCCATCCCCTCCTTCTTTTGCCATCTATTGTTCCCAGCATTAGGCTCTTCTCCAGGGAGTCCTTCCTTCTCATTAGGTGGCCAAAGTATTTGAGTTCCATCTTCAGCATCTGGCCTTCTAAAGAGCAGTCAGGGTTGATCTCCTCTAGGACTGACGGGTTTGATTGCCTTGTGGTCCAAGGGACTCGCAGAGTCTCCTCCAGCACCACAATTCAAAG